ATCAGCTGTGCACTTCCTGAACGATTGCTTTTCTCTCAAAAACAGTAAAACTCGGTCTTTTTATTTTTTTATTTTTTAAGATTTTATATATATTTTTAAATCTCCACACCCAGCACGAGGTCAAACTCACAATCTGGAGATCAAGGGTCATAGGCTCTACCCACTGAACCAGCCAGGCACCCCTCAAGCCCTTTCTTCTGTGCAACTGGCCAGAACTCAGGCCCAATCTGAAAGTTTCTCTCTCCCTAACCTAATGGTTTGTTTTTTACATCATCTCGGCATCACCTTTGCATACTGGAGTGTCTTTCACCTTAATTCTTTTCCTTAGTTTTTTTGGTTTTGTCTTTGTTGGTGATGCATAATCACATCCTTGAGGAAAATAGAAAGGAAAGTTGAGTATGGATAACTGAGTGGATTAATAGCTCATTAAGAGCTCTCATCTGAGGACTAACATCAACCTGTCTTGAGTACCTGACATACCTTGAATACGTATTTTCTCATCAATTACTAACACGACAAGGCAGCCATTGGTGTTATACCCATCTGATAGATGAGTTAATAACGCACAAGTTTGAACAGCCTACCCCAGGACAGACAGCCAGTAAGGAGGAGAGCTGGGATTTGAACCCAGGCCAACCGACTCCACAGGGTGCTTTCTCAGTGATCGCTCTCTTTATAACGTCTCCCCACTCAGAGCACGAGGCAGCATGGGTACGCTAACTGCAGGATCGTAGGAAGGCGGCAAAGGAGACACATTTGTTGTGCAAGTGGAATCAGGGACCGTGACCTCAAAGAGTTCAGAAACATCTAAGAGGTCCCCGGTGTTGCCACCAGGTAAGAGGATCCAGCCCTTCCAGGTAGGGGGCTCCCCCTCACCATCACTCCCCCCCCAGATTCAGCTCTTGAGAAGGAAGAGGTTAACTGCTGAACTGACAACTCAAGGCACACATAGCCTCGAAATGACTCTCTTCTACCAACGGCCAATCCTCATGTGTTCACATAGCCCACGTTTGTGAATCAGCCTACTCCCAAAAATGTATCTGCAACCCCCGCAACACTTCTGTGGTCACTCACAAACGCGCGCAAAGTGGCCAAAAACGTGACTGGCCCAGTGTGCACATTCCCAGCTGAGGGTGGACAGGGCAATGCTCCGCCTTCTTGTTTCACCTCTCATTCTGTCAACCAACGTCTTTCTCGAGATCCGATGTCACTTTTTTTTTGGAGTTTAAGTTTTTTTTGTGTTAATTTTGTTGTTTAAAATGCACCCCCGGGGGCGGCCGCCCCCCCCACACACACACACACAGTGCTGAAGCACTGTCTGATGTTCCTTCAGTGCAAGAAGGCTGTGATGTGTGTTAGGAAGAAAATACTTACGTTAGATAAGCTTCATTCAAGCGTTACAGTTGTGACGCTACAGTTCGCTACTGGTTGTGAGTTCGATGTCAATGAACCAGGGATATGTATTTAATATGGGGCCTTTAAACAGAAACGCACATAAAACAAAGTTATGTATTAATAGGTTGACAAAAAGGTGACCAGATGTTCACGGAACCTAACTCCATATTTCCTTTAGCAGCACGGGTTCAGTGCCGCTGCTAACTTCATGAAATGTAACTACTGGGGACAAAGCAATCAATTCTGTGCCTCTTTTGATAGGCATTTTGTCCAGACAGAATTCAGCCAGAAATCCAAGTGCATCATGGGTCCCGCCCTGCTTAAGAAACAGGGTTCTGGTCACAAAGATTTACGTCAAGAGTCTATTTTGCACCATAAAGATGCAATAATCTAATTTTTTTTTTCATCAAGGAGTTATATGCCTAATTCATCTGACAACTAAAGTAATAATTTTTTTTAATTGTTTTTAAAAAATTAAATTTATTTTTGAGAGAGAGAGAGAGACAGAGCATGAGCAGGGGAAGGGCAGAGAGAGAGAGGGAGACACAGAATGTGAAGCAGGCTCCAGGCTCCGAGCTGTCAGCACAGAGCCCGACACAGGGCTCGAACCCACAAACCATGAGCTCATGACCTGAGCAAAGTCAGGCGCCCAACCGACTGAGCCACCCGGGTGCCCCAATAATAATATGCTTTGAAGAGCAATAAATATTTTAAGTGTAGACGAAATCAAACACATAAACACTGCAGCTAGGACTTCCATAAATCTTACAGTCATTGTTGAATTTGCATTCACAATTAAAGTTAAAATTAAGAGTGAGTTTAGAGACCATTGGTCTTAATAAGTGATGATAAGCCAGCAGGATTCTAGCAGTTTCCTAGTGATCTCCCAAAAGAACAGTTCATGTGAAAAGTTGCTGAAAGAGTAGGAACACACACACACACACACACACACACACACACGCACACACGAGGCACACTAATTAAAACTGCAATTTTCCAACAATTCTTTTCAAATGAAGCTCAGTTAGCAGATATACATGTTAAATGGTACCATGGGGGGGCGCCTGGGTGGCGCAGTCGGTTAAGCGTCCGACTTCAGCCAGGTCACGATCTCGCGGTCCGTGAATTCGAGCCCCGCGTCGGGCTCTGGGCTGATGGCTCAGAGCCTGGAGCCTGTTTCCGATTCCGTGTCTCCCTCTCTCTCTGCCCCTCCCCCGTTCATGCTCTGTCTCTCTCTGTCCCAAAAAATAAATAAACGTTGAAAAAAAAAATTAAAAAAAAAAAATTTAAATGGTACCATGGATTAATGTATTTAATGATAATTGTACAATAAGAATATTACAAAGTTTCACTAAATGGTCCTTAATAATACTGTAATTATTTATGTGACTGCAACTAAAAAGCCTTTTAAGGATAATTTATTTTTTTCACTTTTAAAATAAGCAACATTACTTGGAATAAAAGAATATAGATTATATTGGCAAAATAAAATATATAATCACAGGGGCGCCTACGTGGCTCAGTCAGTTAAGCATCTGACTCTTGATTTCATCCAGATCATGATCTCACAGTTGTGAGATCAAGCCCCACGTTGGGCTCCACACTGAGTGGAGCCTGCTTGAGATTCTCTCCCCCTCTCTCTGGCCTTCCCCTGAATACATGCACAGCATTCTTTCTCTCTCAAAATAATTTTTTTAAATGTATGACCATAACTAGAGGGGAAGGAAATAAAACACTGATTTATGGGGCGCCTGGGTGGCGCAGTCGGTTAAGCGTCCGACTTCAGCCAGGTCACGATCTCGCGGTCCGGGAGTTCGAGCCCCGCGTCAGGCTCTGGGCTGATGGCTCAGAGCCTGGAGCCTGTTTCCGATTCTGTGTCTCCCTCTCTCTCTGCCCCTCCCCCGTTCATGCTCTGTCTCTCTCTGTCCCCAAAATAAATAAACGTTGAAAAAAAATTAAAAAAAAAAAACACTGATTTATAAGTTTCCCAAAAGTAATTAAACATGTGCCTAATTAGATTAATTGGCATATACAAGAAATGGACATAATGTAACATCATTATAATATTTTTCAAAGTTCTGAAATAAAGGTGCCTGGGTGGCGTAGTCGGTTGAGCATCTGACTTCAGCTCAAGTCATGATCACATGGTTCATGAGTTCGAGCCCCACATCCGGGCTCTCTGCTGTCAGCACAGAGCCCGCTTTGGATCCTCTGTCTCTCCCCTGCTCACGCATACATGGGTTCTTTCTCTCTCAAAAATAAATATTTTTTTTAAAAGTCCTGAAACAAATATCATTTTCAATAAATGCAACCTCACACTGACCATACTGGCTTAGATAGGATGTCCGATTCAAAGTTGCTTATAATGGTAAATAAACATCACTAGTTTTAAACTATGGCACACATTCATTCCAGAAAGATCTACCAGTCAAGCAAGGATTTTATTGGATAGCGTTGGATATGGTTAGAAAAACTATTTCCTTCCATTAACATGATCTAACCAACATTATCCACATCCATTCACAGAAACACTATTTGGAGTTCCGGAAGAATCATCTTCATATGCCTGGATCTCACAAAGTCAGACCATGCGCAAATAGCTCATAGTGGTGGGGTGGGGGCAAATAAACAGCCACATTTACTGAGCACATACTATGTTCCTCATCTCGTGGTTCTTGAGATCGGGCCCCACATCGGGCTCCACACTGACAGTGTGGATTGGGATTCTCTCTATATATAAATCTCTCTTCCTCTCCCCTGATCATGCTGGCTCGCTCTCTCTCTCTCTCTCTCTCTCTCTCTCTCTCTCTCCCTCCCTCTCTCTCTCTCAAAATAAGTAAATAAACTTTAAAAAAAAGGGTCCAATGAGTTTATTTCAGAATCTTCAGCAAATTATTCTCCTTCTAGCCTCCCTAATGCAGATTTTGGGCATCTTTTCATGCTGCGTTTTTATTGAGGTCCTGCAAACCCCATGAAGTGCTCTAGGCTGTGGGGGGGGGGGGCATCTGCCAGAGTAGACTGAGCACACCCCAGGAAGTGTCCAGCACAACCTGGGGCATGCAAAGAAAACACTGGAACTTCCATCCAGACGGATCTCCAAGGTCCGTTTTATTTCTATTTTTGTGAGTGTTCAATAATACATGCAATATCAGTACCACAATACACGTACATAATTTATAAGCAAATATATAAACTTATATTGGGTGTGCCTGGCCGAAAAGTATCTGCTCACAGGCTATATGATCAAAAGAGCATGGAGAGAACATTTCTAGAGCACCTGAACAATCAAATCCTTTAATCTGCTGAAAAAAAAACAAACTACAATACTAAGAAAAGAATTTGCTTTTCACCTTTAGGCAATGACTATTTTTGGAACAGTGTCTCTTCTTTCAGGAAAAAAGGCTCAAGTAATGAACATAAACTAGACAAGGTGAAACACGCAAAATGCTCATTAAAAAAGAAAAAGGTAAGAGCGATTTAAACAGGGTGTTTGATAAATACCACTGTCACCTGTTACAGGAAGTTTCTCTAGGGAAACTCATTAAGCATCAGTTTCAACAAATGATCTCATTTGTCTCAAGTTCACTGTAATATTTACAAAGTACGTTATGCACTGCTTCCTTTTGCTTCCTCTGGACCATTCACATCGTTGTGTTTTCAAAGGTAGACAGGTGCCTTTCTGTGGACCCAGGTGATGCAGAAGAGGTAGGGAAAAAACAAAAAAAAAAGGTATGCGTTTCCTCCGTGAGAGAAGTCGCTCATAATTAGAGCAGAAAGTAAAACTCACAACATTAAAATAAATCCATTTACCATAAGGCAGGGTTAGAGAAATCTGGTCAATTAAAGCCTGGATTTAGCAGTGTAATAACATGTATTATGTTCATGTAATAGTATTCATGTAATAACATGCAGGAGTTAGAAGCCCTCATGACCCTGGAGCCCAAGGAAAGGTCAATATGCAGAAAAGACCATAAATATCCTTAATTTTTTAAGTGTATTTATTTTGAGAGAGACAGAGGCAGCGCAAGCAGGGGAGGGGCAGGGAGAGAGAGAATCCCAAGCAGGCTCCACGGCTGTCAATGCAGTGCTTGAACTTGAACGCAGTGCTTGCAGGGCTTGAACTCACAAACCGTGAGATCACAACCTGAGCCGAAACCAAGAGTCGGACACTTAACAGACCGAGTCACCCAGGCACCCCCATAAATATCCTTTAAATGGTGAAGTTCCCCAAAACAAAATGACCTTTCTTTGTAATCTCCCAGGTCACTGCGGTAAATTCACACACCACTATTGCGGGGCAACACGTATGCAGGATAAGGTTGAATTCGATCTGATCCATCGTGAACTCTGCGAGTCCCTCTTTTGAATGAACTCCCAGGATCAGCTTTCCAAGTCTGACTTGACCTCTTAATTATTCCACAGTTCAACAGCGAAGGCAGACAGGGGACCGGCTCCCTGGAAGCTTGTGTTCCTGGGGGGGGACATGTACTTATGGAGGGGAAGATGGGAGTCATTTCAGAGAAGAGGTGGTGACACACGAGCAGACACTTCAGTGACAAAAAGGAATAACCTGCCTATTTGGAGAAGATGATTCCAGACACACGGAAGAGTCCACACAATGCCCCACAGCCAGAAGCGTGCTCCCCTCTAGCGTAGGAATAGCAGAGTGGTCAATACAGTCAGACCTGCATGATCTAGCATGTGGTGGGAGGAGGTGATGTCAGAGATGGTTGTGGGGCCAGCAAAGGCTTTAGGTTTTTGGGGTTTTTTTAATTGTTTTTATTTATTTTTGAAGGAGAGAGAAACCGAGCGTGAGCAGGGGAGGAGCAGAGAGAGAGGGAGACATAGAATTTGAAGCAGGCTCCAGGCTCCGAGCTGTCAGCCCAGAGCCCGACGCAGGGCTTGAACTCACGAACTGGGAGATCATGACCTGAGCCGAAGTCGGACGCTTAGCCAACTGAGCCACCCAGGCGCCCCAAGGCTTTAGGTTTTAAGTGAGCTGCGAAGAAGCCACGGCAGGAGTTGAGGGAGACCAGCTCGGGTGAAGGATCAAAGGGTCTTTTGTTTGCTATTTGCTTTTTCCTTCTTAGCCTTCTGGGTATTCAGAATTCCGTAACAGTGGATCCATCCCACGGCTGGAAATGCCAAAGGCTACACCACAGCTTACATTACCCACCGCCCACTGCCTCCATTCAGGAAATAAGAAAACGGGAAGGTCACGCTTCCTTTGGAAAAGGTCCTTTGCTCTACTGAGAATCCCACTCACAGAAAAGACCCCAATCCCTGAGACAGTTTTTCCCTTCCTGATCCTTGCCAGTGACTCAATAATAGCCTCCCAACCTAAACAATGTCATGCAGGGGCGCCTGGGTGACTCAGCTGGTTGGGAGCATCCGACTTTAGCTCAGATCACGATCTCACAGTTCGTGGGTTCGAGCCCCGCGTCAGGCTCTGTGCTGACAGCTCAGAGCCTGGAGCCTGCTTCCAATTCTGTGTCTCTGTCTCTCTCTGCCCCTCCCCCACTCATGCTTTGTCTCACTCTGTTTCTCAAAAATAAACACACGTAAAAAAAAAACATTTTTTTTTAAACTGTCCTGCATAAGCCCAGAGCTCTTCTCCACTGCTTCCCACCAAATCACCCCAAGGACTCCCCATGGGGAACACTCCATTCTTGGAGTTCTTTATCTAAATAGGATGTATCACTATTTGGTGGAAACAGGTACAAATAAATAATCTTTAATCTTTAAAATATTTATTACATCAGATGGTGAGGAGTGCTTTGTCAAAAATAAAACTGCTAAAAAAAAAAATTAACTTTCTAGCCCTCCATATCTAAATTGATGCTATTACCAAAGATCTCAGATGGAAAGAAGAAAGCCAGCTCTCTACTAAAAACAGTACCAGTTCTTTTTTTTTTTTTAATTTTTTTCCAACGTTTTTTATTTATTTTTGGGACAGAGAGAGACAGAGCATGAATGGGGGAGGGGCAGAGAGAGAGGGAGACACAGAATGGGAAACAGGCTCCAGGCTCCGAGCCATCAGCCCAGAGCCTGACGCGGGGCTCGAACTCACGGACCGCGAGATCGTGACCTGAGCTGAAGTCGGACGCTCAACCGACTGCGCCACCCAGGCGCCCCAAAACAGTACCAGTTCTAAAGAGATCTTCTAATCCCATTTCGCTCTTAGGTCTCCAAAGTACCTGCCTGACCAAACTTGAAATTTAGCTATCTTCCCTAAAGGTATATTTGAAATCATTTCTGTCAACAGCCCTCACCAGACTGATCATCTCACCAAGAAAATTAGTGTGTCGCTATAAAGATCAAAATGTTAGGAACTACTGGGGTGCCTGGGTGGCTCAGTCGGTTAAGCGTCCGACTTCGGCTCAGGTCACGATCTCACGGTTTGTGAGTTCGAGCCCCGCGTCAGGCTCTGTGCTGACAGCTCGGAGCCTGGAGCCTGCCTCGGATTCTGTGTCTTCCTCTCTCTCTGCCCTTCCCCTGCACACGCTCTGTGTCTCTCTGTCTCTCGATAATAAATAAACGTTAAAAAAAATTGTTTTTAAATGTTCGGAACTATTTTGGAAAATACGGATCAAAATGATCTACCAAATGTCTTTAGGGGGGAAGAAAAGGGACAACGTGTCTGACGTCCCAATCAGAAATTTCTAAAAAGTCAAACGTACATAAATCCCAGTTTTGCCAAGCCTGACAGCATATTCATTGGCCCTTCCCAAGCCTAACACACCTTTTATAAAAAGGTCAGGTTAAACCCATCTGAGAACTTCAAGCTTTAGAGAAAGAGTACAGCAACGCTTGTTTAATGTGACAGCAATGTGACAGAGTTTGGAAATTCTCTCTGGTAAAGTCCTTCATTTCTAAATGAAGAGTCTTCCGACATTTAAGGTTGTGATCAATGGCAAACCAAAGTTTACTCTCATAAGGGCAAGTATGACGGCTTAAATTCATTCATCCATTCAACAAATATATCTGTAACTTAGTCCTTAGCAGAATACAAAAATCTGTTTTCTTAACATTTGCACAAGCGAGTTGTGTTGATCTCAACGTCATCCAAATATGAATCAATTACCTCCAGAAATCACACACCGGCCACATTTGTTAAATTTCCAAATCCAGTGGGTAATTCGTTGATAGGTGAGAACTTGTGACCCTTTGTTGTGTGGTGACTGTAGGCACGCACTGAATTGAACTTTTTGTCTGAGTTTTCTGAATCCTCACAACCATAACAAAGGTGGGTAAAATTACTCCATGAAACATGAGAGAAAGACCAAGGATTATAAAGATTAAGCAATTTTTCCACTGACACTCGGCCGTGTAAAGACTAGAACCAGTTTCTCCCTAACCACAAAATCCGTGCTTGTACCTACAGACTGCATTGCCGTCCCTAACTAGGGATCACCAGCTCTCTCTTCTGGGTAAATCAGTCATAAATCTAAATTAAAAAGAATTAAGGAATCCAAAGAGACACTGTGGCCATTATAATTATTGGTGCATTGCAGTGGGAAACCAGCACAGAAAATTACAAAGGCTAATTAGGGGCGCCTCTAAGTTACAGTTTTCGTGTCTTATTTTTATAGCAGGCAACCCTATCTCCTCTAAAGAGATTCTGAGTTATACTTACAACCTAAATTACGTGTTAAAAACCTAGAGAAGACTTAAGCTGTTTCATTTTCACAAACAACAAAAACTATAAACCAGAGACATGAATGGAAAAATTACGGTTAAATTTTCTTCTCTCTCTGGCACTGCAGTGTGGTTATCAGCACTTGGCAGAGGCCTAATTAACATTTGTTAAATGGAACAGAAGGTCCACCGGCTAATTAGCATAGAGATATGGCTAGAACCAGATCTTTTGACTCTCCGAGTAATTTTCTTTCAATGACAATTCAAAAGGTTATGTCTGGCACCTTCAGTACACTTTTTTAAAAAGAAGTTATATGCAGCATCATTAATCATTAGAGAAATGCAAATCAACACCACAATAAAATACCACCGCACATCCATCGAGGGGGCTACTATTAAGAAAAACAGAAAATAGCAAGTGTTGGTGAGGACCTAGACAAATTGGAATCCTTAGGTACGATTAGTGGGAATGTGAAATGCTATAGCCTCTACAGAAAACAGGATAATGAATCAAAGCCACAATGAGATACCAGAATGGCTCACGTTAACAACTCAGGCAACAACAGATGTTGGCGAGGATGCGGAGAAAGAGGATCTCTCTTGCACTGCTGGTGGGAATGCAAACTGGGGCAGCCACTCTGGAAAACAGTATGGAGGTTGCTCAAAAAACTGAGAAATAGAACTACCCGTGACCCAGCAAGTGCACTACTAGGCATTTATCCAAGGGATACAGGTGTGCCGTTTCGAAGGGATACACGCACCCCCATGTTTAGAGCAGCACTATCGACAATAGTCAAAGTATGGAAAGAGCCCAAATGTCCATCGAGGGATAAATGGATAAAGAAGATGTGGTATATATACATAATGGAGTATTACTCGGCAATCAAAAAGAATGAAATCTTGCCATTTGCAACTACATGGATGGAACTGGAGGGTATTATGCTAAGTGAAATTAGAGAAAGACAAACATCATATGACTTCGCTCATATGAGGACTTTCAGAGACAAAACAGATGACCATAAGAGCAGGGAAGCAAAAATA